CCGGCAAAGGTCCAAGAATGTCAGCGGAGAGCCAAGTGAGAGGGGAACATGCCTGAGGATGCATCCACGTGGCAGCACTTTGGGACCAGCTCTTCTTTAGGCGAGGGCAGCCTAGCATAAGTCAAGGCAACAACCGAAAGGAGATTACACCGGGGTCTTCCGCTCTGCAGGCTGGTGTTTGCAGAGTGCAGGTGCTTCTACTACTGATGCAGTCATACTTGCCACACACATAGGCCCTGCCCCTACCCCACATGTGCAGCAAGTTGGGTACTTGTTTCTCCCTAGGCATATGCCCCAAAGGAGTGGGGAGTAGGGCACTTACATTTTGTCACCTGACTTCCTCTCTCAACCAAATGTAACAACCATCTGTGAACTGATTAATCCACAGTCCAAATGGAGTTAAAAGGGCTTCTTTCAAGTTTTCCTGGAGGTTTCAGGAAGACCACCAGCCCAGGTGATGTCCTTCTTCCACCCCATGTCGGGCTCCCTGGGCTATGTTACAGTGGAGATGAGGGGAAGATGCTCCTAGGAATAAGGCAGCGTGGGACCAGGCCACTGCAGGGTGCTGCACCTCATACATGCCAAAGCTGTTCTGCAACACACCAAGGCCCCGTTTGGGGTTCAAGGTCTGAATGTGATGGAGAAAATGTGACTTTGACCTCTCCATCACCTGAATGAGGTGCATGGGAAGCGTCTTATCCCCATTACAGGAAGAAAGCTGAGGCGCAGAGAAACGCAGGGACTTGCCCAAAGCTCGTTAAGTGGCAGGAAAAGCTAACACTGGGTCTTCTGGCCTCTCGCCTGGCACAAAAACACAGCTTCTGATTCTTCCTCTCCCGGCGACGTGAGCTTTGACCCCTGCCTAAATATCTCCCGTCCGGAGCGAACTTTTCAATGGAAACATGCAAACTGGGTCCAGCAACCGTTCGGCTCTATCCGCGGCCCCGAAAACCGGGCTGGACAGGGAACATAAGTGTCCAAGTCTGTCTCCAAGAGCTCCGCCCGGATGGGGGCCGAGGCCTCCGCCTCGGAGACCCTGCGCGAACAGGGAGGGCGGCACCGGGCGGTCAAGCTCAGGGACCTGGGCGGGCCTGGCTGTGCGGGACGGGGG